CACACACACACACACACACACACACACACACACACACACACACACACACACACACACACACACACACACAGCGTCACCGACATCCTGTCCTAAGTGTCCTCCATTCCCCGTCGTCGCCTATGTCGATTCCCCGCCACCGTTTTTTTCGGTAGTCGTCGAGGGTGTCGCTAGTTGTCGCGGTTGTCGCCAGTTCGCGCCGAAATTTCTTCGGTCGTCGCCCCGAGTTCCTCCGATCGCTAGTCGTCGCAGGTGTCGCAACAACATTTTTTTTCGGTGGTCGTCCCGGGTGTTGCCACTTCGTGCCGAGACTCGTCGCGGCTGTCCCCACGACCTTTTTTCCCCTACTCGTCGCGGTTGTAGTCAGTTCCCGCCGGCATTTCTCCGGCCGTCGCCCCGACTAGCACCAGTTCCCCCTTGGCCGCTGCCCGTAACCGGTCCCGCGCGGAGGCACCCGGTTTCTATTGGGCCCCACGCGAGGACCGTTGTTTCCTTTAGTAGGGATAGGGATTGTCTAGAGGGGTTAGATGTATCCCTAAGTTGGGCCGGTCTAGTCATATTCTTTATATTATTCCGTAGGCAGGTTGGACGTTGTCGGGACTGGTGAGTCCCGATTGATTTCCCGTTACTCAAGAGACTGTATATGACCAATTTGTGCACGGCAGAGAAAACCGGGGGCAGGAATGCTGGAAAGATCGGAAGCGTGGGCACAGACGGTAGGAGGATAGAGGCCGTCCGAAGTCGTCAAGACCGCCAAAGCTAGAGAGGGATTGTCTAAGTAGGAAGCGGCAAAGGACTGTGAGAGAATAGCAAGGGCGACTCTCTCCCCAAAGACGAAGGAGGGCCGCCGGGAAGTTGGTGGCAACATAAGAGGGGCGCAGCAAGGGTAGGGAGGAAGCAGGAAGGGACAGGGCGCAAGGCGATGACGTGACATGATGACAGGAGGGCCAAGGAGACTGCAGGATAGCTGGGAACCGGCACCCGGAGCGGAACAGCGTGTGGGGCGCAAGGGAAATGGGGAGCGGGGATCGCCGTAAGGCGGAAGGACGTCGGGAGCACCAAGGGAAGACATGGCGCAAGCAGGACAAGGTGTTGGGGCCACAGGGGACTAAGACGAAGTGTGGTGTCGGCGGGACTAGGTGCCGGGGACCACGCGAGACCAAGGGACGGCATGGTATCGGCAAGGCGAAGTACCGGGAACCGTGTAAGGCCGAGGGATAGACGAAGCGCGGGCGGACCAAAGCGCCAGGAACCACGTGGGCCTAGACAGGATGGCGGCACCAGCGGAACCACTAGCAGGGCAGGTATAGATGGGATAAAGCGTCAGGAGCCGCGGACGGAGGACGAAGGTCGGAGCCGTCAGCGGGATAGTTGGCAACCGGTCGATAGAGGGACGCGCGCGAGCGGGTCGTCACCCGGGGTGACGCCGGACGAAGGGGAGGGATTAGGAGCAGTAAGAAAAGGAGGAGAAGTCGGGCGCTGACAGAGATTATCAACGGAACGGGGGAGACAGGCATGTGACGGGAAAGACGGAGGACACCTTGGGCGACCCAGGGGGATCCTGGATCCGATGCAACGACAACGATAAAAATAAAATAACATAACATCAGGTGGGCGGGCCCGCCCGGGCCAGGGGTCCGGATGAAAATGATGAGTGCCGCCGCGGCAAGCGCCGGCGGGAGGTGCCGAGGGAAAAAGAGGAGGGGATAGTAGTAATGAGGGGGCCGGCCAGCAGTCCGGGTTATTCCGGACCAGCCAGACCAAGAAAAACGAAGTTCCAGGGACTCCACGTGGAGAAAAGGCTGGCCTGAGAAAATCGGAGCAAGGGGCTTTCAAAACCGGAAGTGGCGGCAGCAAAAAGGAGCCCCCTTTGGCCTCGGGGGTGCCACTACTGCAGCCCGAGGTGCAACGGCCATATGCCGGCTGCAAATCAGGCCTTGGGAAAGGTCCAACAACTAGTAAAAGGAGAAATATTTGTTCGACACTTGTCCCAACAGTAAATGACAAAAGAAAGGAGAAAAAGGGGGGAGAATGAGACAAAGGAGGAGGAAGGAGTGGAGGAAAAAGTGCCGCCAGGTTGGGACTGCAGCAGTAGGGACTGGCAAGTCTCAATGATGACCTCATCCCTCCTAGATCCTAGGAGGGTAGTCCGGATTGCAGAGATAAGGTCCTTGGGGCATTATCTCTGCAATATCTAAATTTAAGCAACAAAAATAAGGAAAAATGTAGATGTGAGTTGGCCGGCTCATTTTTGGGCCTTAGATCTGAGATCTGATCTTGCGGAGGAGGAAATCTAGCCGTTTTTTGTCGGCTGACACAAAAAAAATGGAGGGAAAACAAAGAGAGGAACAAGACAAAACTTCGAACTTGGCCCAAGGTTTGGGCCAGGTACATCAAAAAAAAATTTGATTGGGGCAAAAGACTCAAATTTGGAGCAAGGGGGGCTTGGAGTAACTCAGAATGATGAGAACCATAGATCTCAGCCAAATCCAAGGCTGAGATCTGTACCGCCACTTGGGAAAA